TGAGCTTTGCTTTTCAATTTTAGGCAGAATGTACCTTTTGCCGTACACCAGCATAGTCTGGATCTTCGAATTCTGAGATAACATGTTTAAAGCTGGTATTATTGCACTAGAGAACGAAAGTAATCTCAAAAAACTCTTAATAAAGTGAAGAAATGTCCATATTTTTACATAATAATAATGCCGTAAACAGTAAACAGGCACTGACGACCGTAGTTAGGCTTATAACTTCTCAATAAAAAATTTCATCGGACTGAAACCCCAATCAGTTTATGTTGTCCTTAAATTTATATCTTCTCGGATACATATACCTTCCGACTTATTAGTTTAGATTTCTTCTATCTTGACTTTCCATGCTTTTATTCATTTTGACATCGCTTGCGACATATTTGCTGCATCTCACTTGTTTACGATTCTTTTGACCCATTGTTTTATTTGTTACTTTTTAATGATGTTTTACTCTGATTCATTCTTTTGACCATTTTGTTAAAAAAAGTTTCAATTACTGACTTCAGAAAAAATGTTATGGTAGTGTTTAGCATCTTGGTATATTTTTAAACCTTTTTTTAACCTACATTGCTAGGATACTGTTATGCATTTTGTCATAAAGCTGTTTTTTATTATTTTGCGCCGAGGAAGACATCAAATAAACGTCGAAGCGTCTGTTTTTTCGTAAAATGCATCTTTAGGCACTATTTATTTTATCCCAAAATCCGATGATTGATACTAAGGATACTGGGATAACTAACTGTTGTCCTATATAACCACTGTTACGTGTTCCGTTTTCACCATTTATTTTCAACAAGACGATATATCAAATTCATTACAAAATTTAAATATTCAGTTTTCAAAATAAAGAATCAAGAACAATTGAAGGGCCGGCCGGAACAACGTTGTATGTAACAAAACAGCTCAGTGACCGAAATTAAGAAAAACAAATTTGAACCATTTTTTTCAAATGACTGCGTCTATAGTTGGCCAGCACAATAAAGGAACAATATTTATACAAGGTTATTATAATTTAATAATGTCCTACCTATTTTGCAGCTATGGGAACCATTTTTATTAAAAACGCATGTAACAAGGTTGTATGATCGCGTTACTTACAACGTTGTTACAGGGAGGCTTTAAATGACTACAAGCAAAACAAGTATTTTCAGTAGTTCTATTTATTAAGGAAACCAAAGTACCCAGTAACATATTTTTAATAACAAAAAAACACATTCAAGTTCATCAACGTGTTTCGAAACCAAAACTGAAACTTAAATAAATATTACTAGGTTGCAGTTAATTTCTCATAAAATGTTACATACTTAAGCGGAATATAATCACTCATATCCTCAAGGTTTTTTAATTTTTCATCTTTGATTGGAAGAAGGTTCTGATACATTATAGGTAATTTTTCAGATGATGTGATTTCAATGGCAAATGTCATTGTTTCTTTTCTTTTACGATTGCTTATGGGAAATGAATTCCAGGGCTGCATAATATTTTGAGATTTCTCATTCTCAAAGTAGCTGGAGAATCAGCGGTAAGTTGCAGCCACAATCCTTGTGTAATTTTACATTTGAGGTATTTCCATATACAACATTCCAAAGCTGTTAAATTCTCGAAGAAGGCTTGGTGCATCCAGACAACTCTAAAAGGATTTTTAACTTTGGCTTTAGCAATGACATTGACCCACTGGAATGGTTCATAAACCATAGATATTCTTTTTTGCTTACGTACATACAACGTTGTTACGCGGAAGACTGAAATGGCGCGCTTTACAAATTCGCGTCACAGTGATTGATGCGAGTAAACTGGTGGGTCTATGTTGTCAACGGCTCCCAATAGGCACATACTACGTTGTTTTACGGAAATCTCATTTTATAGAAAAATGTTATATACAACGTTGTTCCGGCCGACCCTTCAATTATTGAATGCATTTCGCCAAATAGTGAAGAACGCAAATTTCACTGCCGGACCTATCATATCGCTTTGATATTAAGGAGTGATTCTTTCGACATATCTAAGGCTCTTTTGTCTTTTGACGATTTTCGAAATAACCCTTCATTTCCTAAATGACGACAGGTTTTTATTTCAACATTTTATAATCTAACCTAATTTTCACAGCGTACTTTCCAGTTGAGACCTTGGTGATCAAAAAAAGTCAACTCATTTAGATCGCCAGGAATGGACTAGCCCTAACACAATACTACTACTTCTTACACCCTATATACAGGGTGTCCGCAAACTTGGGGTTTTCCTTCACACGACGTGTAGTTCTTAAGAAAATAAGCGGATTTTGTTAGTAGCATATACATGAATGTCTTAAGAGAACCGAGATATTAGGCTCCGCAAGCTCAGTCAAACCTGAACCAAACCAAAACCCTCGATCAGGTCCACAGCGTCAGCGCCAGCGTACGTTTATACGACGTACGACTACGATGTAAATACGGATTTTACGACAGAGCTGTACTTGATTTCAATTCAACTGAACAGTGAATACTTTTTCATCTATTTTGTTTTCAGTTGTTCATTCACGTTTCACCACACATTAGCTTTGTTATATCAAGCGTTGTTTTGTCTGAAAGGAACCCCAACTTTGCGGACACCCTGTATAACCATAGCTCCAAAATGATATTTTTAGGAGGCTTGTCCTTTAGCTGAGAACAATGTGTTTTTGTTTGGTGTTGATAAGTGCTAATCTGATCGAGTTAATTTACAAATACAAATATGTACCTTATTAGTGCCATTGTACATGGATTGCAATTACACAAGTCACAGGATTATAGTGATAAATTAAAACAAAATAATATTAGATACAGATAAAAATATAGCTATAAAAAGTCAGGATTAAACATTTAAAATCCAAAAACCCATTGTTCGAGTAAAATGCCTTTCTAATTAAAAAATCCTTGATTCTTTGTTTGTAAGCATTCAAATGTAAAGATCTGGTACTTAACGGAAGTGTGCTAAAATATTTTGGTGCTATATATCGTATATGTTCTTGGCTTTTAGCCGGTCTAAAATGTGGAATATTTAAAGTGCCGGTACTTCTAGTGTTGTAGTCGTTGTAATAAATGTTTTTTTTGGTATTCAGCATACTATTTAGTATACACTAATGTCCCGTATACATATATTGAAGGCAATGAGAGGATCCTCATGTCTATGAATTTCTGTCTACAGTCATCACTATATTTTAAACAACACACTACACGAAGTGCACGTCTCTGTAGGGAGAATATACGCTGCCTTGTCTCCATGCCAAAATGGCATAAGATATGAGGATGACATACAGCGAAATATACCGACTTTAATGCATTCTGGTTCAACTAAGAGCATATACATAAGCTTCTGAGTTGGAAAATATTTTTTAAGTGGTTTCAGCCTTCTCGGGAAGATCACTTTGCAGCGAATCCTCAAAAAGTTGGACAAAATTCGACCTAAACATATAGATATTATTCACAGTTTAAGAACTAGGTAGGAAACTACGGCCCTGTACGTCGGTAAAATCGTCACTCAACCACATTTTCCACGGTTGAGCAGTCGCCGTTTCCCCGATGTTTTCTACCCCCAAAACATTTTGTGCACACGTGTGCAAGCTCCTATCTCCACATACTATCAAACCTCTGTTTATTTAGATTTATTTCAAATCCTATTATGTCCTTAGATTATGAACTTAGCATAGTTCGTTGTGCTGATAATATCTGGAGTACGCTGGACCAGAAGCTGTGCATAATTTAGGCATTAGCTGCTCCCCCTTTTTCATTAGGATTGCAAATAATACTCATTCCATCTATTATCGAATATTCTACATAGAACGAATTCCATAATAAATACTGATGTACCACAGTAAGTAGTAACCATGTGACAATCGCCTTTCAGATCCCTCAAAATAAGATATGAATGATGGAGCTAAATACTAGGAAAATCACGTGTTCTTAAAATATTCTGTATTTTATCGTCGATTGTCTAGTGATAAATATAACCTTTGCTTATAGCCTGGGTAAATCGAGAGAAACATGAAGTACAAGTGTTATCAGTAGAGACCAGATATTAGCTAAGATATTTTTCCTCCCTTACGGTGGTATCATTGGTAAATACTAGAAAAATCACGTGTTCTAAAAATATCCTGTATTTGATCGTCGATTGTTTAGTGATGAATGTAACCTTTGCTTATAACCTGGGTAAATCGAAAAAAACATGAAGTACAAGTGTTATCAATAGAGACCAGATCATATTCAACATAAATTTTTTGAAATATGTATGAAAAATGGTTAAAATCTGCATGAAAGTATCAAAATATGCAAAATTGAATAACCGTCAAACTTTTATACTTTTTATTTTAAAATCAACTTATAAATAATTAATAATTAAGCACTTGAATGACTTATCTATGAGATCTGTAGGTGTGGTAATGCGGAGTTCATTTGCCAAATTTTTTTCATTAATTGATTATTCAGTCAACGCCAAACTTTGAGTTTCAAGCTTTCTGATATTGGCAGGCAAATAAGAGTGGTATCGTAGAGCGTTAGTGGTCTACTTGGCCTTGATGCGCGACTGCTTAGGCTGGATATTCCTTGGAAGCATATTCGCACATAAAATGTAGACGCGAATTTACTCGAACGTCTCATCTACCAAAATTTTTATTGGAGACTTTATCGTCTGGCGAAAAAGTGTGAGATCAATAAATTTAGTATATAAATTTAATTTATTATCGAGATAACATGCCTAAAAAGTAATCATAGCAAAAATATGCAACGTCTCTAGATTTTTGTTGAAATATGCAACAACCAGCGAAAATAGGCTCTATGCAAATGTATACAGTCAAAATCACGAAAGATGACTATTACGTCATACCATAAATTGTACTGAAGTAATCAATGGACGTACGTCGATGATAAAATCACGATGTGAGGAACATAATGACAACAAATTTGTATTATGATTTTGCTAAATTAGGTTATTTAACTTATTATTTTTATTTTCATTTTATTTCATGGTTTTGAGTGATACCGTAATAATAATTTTAGTGGGGAGCTTTTGTTTTGAAAAAAAAACAGTTATGAGTAGAATACCTTAAGACAGGTATACCTAAGACGAAAGTATTGTTCGAAAACAACCTAACCTGCTTTAACATAACCTAACTATTTCAGCTTTCAAATATGATCGATCATGCAACATGAAAACATCGTCTATCTTTGTCGGATACATGCAAATTAGCAATACAGTTACAACTACTTTACTACAGACTAAAATGATGACGTAATCGTCATCTTTCGTGATTTCGACTATATACTAATATGCAAATGCGGTATCTAGTTATCACCTTAAACTTTGTCTTTATTTTTCCATGCCTTGCGGATCATTTTACTAACTGCTATTGATTTTTCACGCTTGCGTTACTGAAGGTAGGAAATGAAAAATGAAACAATTGCATATTATAAATAGAATAAAACTCTATGCACATAACGGATATAAAATAATACTGCTTTACAATGAATCTACACAAATACAATCATAGTTCGTCTTTGATGTATTTTTTGTCATAGCTTCTAGTAAACGATCTCCACAGGAGCGCTCGATCAAGCAATAGTCCCGACTTGTTGATTGTGGAATTTCCATCTATGTGGTAGTAGTTCTCTGATTTAGCTGTGTATGGTTTCCATCTTTCCGAAATATCTGCAGTTGCTTCTGGTGTAGGATCCCTAAAAGCATACAATGTAGGCTACATATAACACGTGGATCAATAAAACATAATTTTTTTATATTGATATAGTCGCCTAAGCAGAAAAATACCAAGGCATCACGACTGCTGTAAGCAGCCTAAAGACATCTCGTTAATCCGATTTTTAAACTGCCCCCATCGGTGTGAAAGAGTTCCGAGATTTTACGTTACAGAAGTGTCATGCATGGTCAGCCCTCCTCTGAACAGCATCGAGTATAAAGAATCTAGTAAAGGCGGTAGTACCCCAAACGGGTGAGCAGTATTCGAAGCTGAGCCTTATCTGGACTTTGTAAAGACTGAGCAGGTTATATGAAGAAAAGTCCTCGGTGATCTGGACTTCACCAATCGAAACGATAGGTGAATCCAGGTGTTAGAAACCAAAACCAGATGTACGTTAGGATGTTTCTTGCTAATCAAAGTAAAGAAACATTGAACCGTACCAGATTGTTGCGTCCTCAAACAGTGATAACTTCCAGATCTCTCATCATGATCTCAGTGGTTTTGATTACAAAAATCCTCGAGACTTCCCAAAGGCACCCTTAAGTAGTGTCTGATCGAAACCAGTTTTTTAACCTAAACCGAAACTACTTATCGAGGAATATGGAGGAGGAATTATTTGATAAGCTAATAATTCAAATGTTCTGAAAACCTTCTCCCATTTGAAGCGGCAGGTTAGGTAGTTGCGCATTTCCATGAAAAAACAAACTTTATTCTTGTATTTTGGATAATCGCCCTATATGACAAATATAATTAAGAAAAAGTAAAACTAAAAAAACAGAAATAACCTCGTATATTTTAAGAAACAAAACAATGTCTAGATCTAGGTTCCTTACCTTTGGCAATCATACAGCGTCTTCTAAAATTAGGGCAATAGTTACGTTCAGTATATAAAAAACAAAATAAAGGCGGCGTGAAAGTATCTGATGAACAAATATTTGACAATAAACCTCTGTACAATTTCGTGGAAAAAATTTAAATTCGTAAAGAAGATTATTTATAGAAGAAAAAATGTAAATTGTATATAAAAAGTATATTTGACTAAAAAAATTCATCCACTGTCCATACCGATACGAGTAAAAGACAGATTATAGAAAAAATGTGGCTCTTGATAATGAAATGTATTGAGTTCTGATCGGCTGACGAAGTCGTTCCACTTAGTCTCTCAAAATTGAGGTAACAGAACCTAATTCAATTTACCCTGTATAACAATCTAAGAAGTAAGTACCAACCAGAAGCCGAAGATGCAGATTAAAACTTAAGATTGTACCGTCTAGCGTTCATCAAAGAAACGTATCAAACATTAAAAAAGTTATGACGTTTCGAGTTTGATCAATATTTGGACACAACAGCGTCAATATGTCAGCCCGACCGCTTCCGAAGGCGACCGTAGTTTCAGTTTCGGTTGTACTTGGGTTTTCTGCCGAAATCAAAGCTAAATCGAAACATATACAGTTTTCGAAAATTCTAAATATATTCAAGATCCTGTATATACATATAATTTTCGAAAAGTTAACCATTATTCAATAAGCAGCTGAAAAATGCAAACTCTAGATTCGTTACTTTTTGAGTCCTGGCCATACAAGAACCATAACATTTTGAGGAAACGTATCCCCTCAAGAATTAAATAAACCCTTTGGAAGAAGTAGTGACTGTTTTTCTGAACATGCCAGTAGTGTATTTCGAAAGAAATATTATAAAAGTTATTTATGTAAAGATAGCTGCTATGGCTCGTGACGTGAAATTACAGGCCGGGGCGGGAAGCGCCGCGGGTTCTAAGACCCCAACAAGATATAAGACGTATTGTCCAAAACACATCGATTCTATGTATATATACAGGGTGCGGCGGAGAGGACGGACGTTTTTGGGATGGGTAGTACTCTCCGCCTCCGTCTACGAGAGAGGTGGGGTGGGTACCGTTTGACTAGTGAGATCCTAGCATTATTTTACCAGTTGTCGTTATGGAGCCTTGGACGGTGGAGCACCGCGTTTTCGCCTATGACTGTTTCGTCCGAAATAATGAGTCAGTCATCGTCTTACAGCGTGAGTTTCGTCGCCACTTCAACATTCATCGGAATAGAGATGTTCCCTCTCGAAATACCATCCTTCGTTGGGTTGAATCACTTCGCAAGCGTGGTGAACTGATCAACAGAAGACCAAGAGGAAAATGTTGAACGCGTTCGACAAGTCTTTCTTCGCAGTCCGACCCGATCTGCCCGAAAACATGCTGCTGCACTTCGCCTTAGTGATCGTTTGGTAAGGCGAATTTTGCATATATCTCCGCTTTCACCCCTACAAATTGGCCATTGTGCAAAAGTTACAGTCCGGAGATTATGCACAACGAATGAACTTCGCACGTGAGATGGAAGCACTGATCGATCAAAATGAGAACCTCATTTTGTTTATAAGTGACGAAGCCCACTTTCACCTAAACAGCATGGTTAACCAGCAGAATTGTCGTTATTCGGCTAATGAAAATTCGCAACAGTTACACGAAAGACCTCTTCGAAGGCGGTAATGGACGTGATGTTACCGTGAACTCAGAGCGCGACGTCGACATGATCACCAACTTTTTTCTCCCTGAATTACGACGGCGACGTGTTCCAATCCGACGTGTGTGGTTCCAGCAGGATGGGGCGACCGCCCACACAGCCCGAACATCCATGGTCGTTATTCGCCCTCTCTTCCCTGGTCGCCTTATTTCCAGGTTTACCGATGTTCATTGGCCTCCTCGGTCCCCAGATTTATCCATATGCGATTTTTTCTTATGGGGACACCTCAAGGCTAGAGTATACGCGAACAAGCCCCGAACTCTGGACGAATTGAAGGGCGAAATTCGCGTGGAAGTCGCCCAAATTGAGAGAGCGATGTTGGAGAGAGTCTACGCGAACTTCCAAGAACGCCTCCAGCACTGCATCAACGATTTTGGCCACCACATGCCTGATGTGATTTTCCACACTTGACTGTCTCAAATGCTATTTCCTTGTGAACCTGATTCCATCAATAAATTTGTTTTCGAGTGAAAATTAACTATTTTATGATTTTTTTAAACCGTCCATCCTCTCTGCCGCACTCTGTATATCCGACAGGGTATGATTAAAATTTCTTAGTAGAATTGGCATACAAATGTATCGCGGTAGTAGCATCGTTGCTTAGGAATGAATAAATAAAGACAATTCTCGAAGTGGTCGCCATATTGAGCTCATCATAATATAGTCGAAGAAGTTTCTTTGGATGCACTAGGAAAAATATTTAAATTCGGTATGCTGCAAATCTTATTGAAAAGGGGGCCCTTTTAATGAGTATGGGTGTTCATATGTCAAATCGCTGATATCTCGACCAGCATCAGAATAACCAAAAAAACTGTCCGGTTTAATGTTAAATAATTTTCGGCGAGCTTTTGGGTCTGGCACGTTGCAGGTTCGGTAAAACTGGTCCTTTTTGATTAAGATGGTGCAAAAAACTGAGGCCGAATTTACTTTCTCATAATAAAGTACAATTTTCCGCCCAGTCATAAATAAAGCTATTTCAATTGGTTTTATTTACCCCGTTCTAGCAAAGTTCGTCCATAAAGTCGTCATGATATTTGTTATCTTCTTATCAGTTTTCGAAGGTTTGACATCAGGGAATAATCCATCACCAACTGGAAAGAGGTACTGCAATTCGTCTGCATGGCAGACACCTGTGAAGTGTGATAAATTTAGCAATGTGCCACCAAATACCTATAAATAGTAAATCCGGACACTGAAATTGTTCAAATATGTAAATTTTGTCATACTCGTAGAATAAAACAAAATTGTTAGCTTCTATGTATCATTTTTTGTCAGTTAATGAGTCAATGATAATAACAGTTAATAGAAAAGTAGCAATTGTACTGAGATCTTACTAGAAAATGCACTTACATACTAAGTGACATATAAATCCGAACACCCAGTTTAAATGGTTTTATTTTAATAAAATTTTGTATAAGTACTTAATGAAGCATAATAAGTAAATGATAAAAATTTCAAAATGATTGCACTGCTTTAAAGCCCTTCGACCTTTAATAATGTGTGGATGCACCCTGATGTGCTACGCATTCTCCAACGCGCCTAGGCATGCTTCTGATCAGGTGGTCAATGTCCTCCTGTGGTATCTCATTCCAGGCAACCACCAACTCCTCTCGAAGTGCTTCTAGAGTCTGAGGAGGACGTTGCAAATTGAGCAATCTCCTACCCATCATATCCCACACATGCTCAATTGGGGATAAATCGGGAGATTTTGGTGGCCATGGTAACAATGTGACATCATTATGTTGAAAGAAGTCTATTGTGACTCTTGCAACATGTGGTCGGGCATTATCTTGTTGGAAAGTTGGATCTGCCAGGGTGTCAAGATAGGGTAAAAGATGGGATTCTAGAACTTCGTGGATATAACGCTGCGCGTTCATGTTACCTCTGATGAAGATTAAAGGTGACCTCGAACCATAAGCTATAGCACCCCAAACCATAACTCCAACAGTGTGATGAACATGTCTTTCAACAAAAAACTGTGGATTCCTCCTTTCACCACGTCTCCTTCTAGCCCTGGCACGACCATCGTGCATGCCTAAACAAAATCGAGACTCGTCACTAAAGACAATACTGTTCCATTCCTGATCCCAGAGTGACCGTTGTCTGCACCACTCAAGGCGATTACGTCGGTGTTCTCGAGTTAAAGGGAGGACCCAGTGTGGCCGGTATGAAAACAAGCCAAAACTTCTCATTCGTCGGTAAACACTTCGCATGCCAATAGGTCTTCCGTGTTCTGCAAACCATTCATTTGCAATGGACCTGGTAGAGGAGAAACGGTCCCTTAAGGCCAATAATCTTAGGCGGCGATCTTCACGGTCTGTTGTTCTACGGCGGCGTCCAGTGCCCCTTGCTCTTTGCGTACGGCCTTCTCGAAGCCATGCCTGACAACACCTAACCACAGTGTCTACATTTCTTTGCGCTCTAACTGCAATTGCCCGAAAAGAAAGTCCAGCTTCCCGAAGTCCTACTATACGGCCCCTATCAAACTCACTAAGTTGACGAAATCGTACAGGTCTCCGTACTCTAGGCATCGTAACCGATCGTAAAGGATGTCAAGAATCAAAATCCGCCAACGTTGATTCTTTACTGCGGCTGAAATATTCATTTTTAGAGTGTTAGTGAATTAAAAAAAAGCAGTATAAAAACCGGAATGTCCAACTGATAAAGCTGAAAATTTTTTCACTTGTTATTAACAGTAAGATAAATACATTCACCAACTTTTATTAAAATAAAACCATTTAAACTGGGTGTTCGGATTTATATGTCACTTAGTATATCTTAAAGCGCAGATTCAAACATCAATACAAGTATTTTAAAGACGCGTTGCATTTGTATACGTAATATGATTTCTTTATCGTTCTGTCTGTAGTTCTCTCTGTTACTTTCCTCCTCACTATTGCGCCGATTGTTGTCAGATGTCCGTGTTATAATACAACAGTTTATTATTATAGTCTAATGATATTAGGTGGCAAAGAGGTAATATTTTTAACGAATTACCAAAGTCTGTGTCTCCTCCTCCGAAGATCTTTGTGAAACTGGCACTACCCCTGTATCCAAAGAGATAGTAATATGCTGGTTGTGTTGAATGTTTATGGTGAAGCCTAACTGCAGTATCAGCAGCATCCATGAACCAACCATCCGTATACAACTAAAAACAAAATCACATTGGAATTACAGAATAGGCCTTTGTAATAAGATTGGTAGATAAACATGATTTAAAAGTAAACAAACTCTTAACATATTGAAATTGAAACTGATTCAGGTGAGGCATGTAGACATAAACCTAACAAATGGTATGCTAGTCAATGGTGGAATACAGAATCATACGAACTTAATGAGGTTTTATACTAACATCGATCAACTCCTTTATCTTCGTTTCGTCAATCTTGTCTTTGCCGAAATAATACTTTCTCAAATTCCGTGTTACGGTTTCTACATCGCCAAAGAATTTGTCGTATTCTAAACTCATTGGAGCAAGTTCATCAAACCTTTCATCAAATTCTTTAATCAACTGTGAATTCATTCCTGAAACATCGTTAAAAATATGTCAAAATTAATACAATTATTGTATACTCGATGTTAACACCCTTGGCCCAGCATTTACCGACAATTTTTCTGAAAGTTTTAGCACTTGCAAAACAAAAATGAGCTTGGCTGAACTGAATCTGTTTGCTTTCCATCTCTGTTACCATGATCAATCGTATTTGTAGGTGACTGTTATCAGTGCCGTTACCTCTTAGCGTACAACATGTTGAGTTTTTCAGTGGTCCACGAATGAATGAATCTTGAAATTAGAGGCATTCCGGCCACCATAAGGAGCCAGTGCATAGGCCGATTAAGCGGGTCCTTATGCACCTCTACAACCCTTGAGTCCAAGCTCATTGACGTCCTGACGGTCCAAAGTAATGGACCCCAGTATAGTCTGCCTATAGTAGCTCAGAGCTTCAAAGCGACACAAAAGTGCGCCGAGGTCTCTTCGTCTACCCCGCAGCGTTCACACAAGAGATTCTCAGCCAGCCCCATCACGTGCAGGTGACGCCTTAACGTGTTATGGCCAGACAACAGTAAATTGACGCTTCATTTTTGAATATTTTTCAATGAAATTTTCACAGTGCACTAAAAACAAGAATCCACAGGGTGCTATAGAGCCACTTTTTCGTTTTTTCCTCTGGGTTATTTTTAAAAAAATCGAGAAGTCGAACAACAATTATCTGCACTTCCACCCACCATAACTCCTGAAAAAATTTTTTTTTTAGAAAAGTGGCTCTATAGCACCCTGGACTATTGTCTTCTGAAAATACTGTATAAATTTTATTCGAATACATAGAAAAATGGAGCGTCAATTCCGAAGCAGCTAAACCCTTGTAAATGGCCTGAAACTCACTCCGTCGGAGCCGCCTTAAGCGGGCCCTTATGCACCTCTTCATTCCTTAGATCACAAGCCTCGCCCTTTTAGCAAAGTTGAGAATCGCCTTGAGTTCAAGCTCCTTGACGTCTTGAGGGTCCAAAGTAATAGACCCCAGTATAGTCTGCCTATAGTAGCTCAGAGCTTCACAGCGACACAAAACGTGCGCCGAGGTCTCTTCCTCTACCCCGCAGCGTTCACACAAGAGATCCTCAGCCACCCCCATCACGTGCAGGTGGCGCCTTAACGTGTTATGCCCAGACAACAGTCCCACCAGCAACCTTAGGTTGGCTCTATCCAGAGATAAGCAGAAACGTCCATCCTTACCACTGGGCCCTTCAATGAGTTCCCGTGCCTGGCGGAGATGTCTGGAGATACCTCTCGATTTCTGAGAGTGTTGTCTTGAAACTCACGTCTCCATTTTCCTCCTAGCTTTATGCGCGGTCACTCCTAGAGCTGGCCCAGGACTAACGAGCTTGCTGGCTGATCCTGTCTTCGCCAGAGTGTCCGCCGTCTCATTGGCCCTTATCCCCGCGTGCCCTGGTACCCACATTAACGATACCGGATGCCTCGTTGCGAGGCAATCCAGAGACTCCCTGCATTGCAACACAAGACTCAAAGTAATCTTACAGGCACTTAGTGCTTTCATTGCAGCCTGGCTGTCGGATAGGATTGTGATTCTTCTCCTAGGCCCACCCTCCTCCAGGATCTGAGATACACAAGAAAGAATCGCAAAGATTTCCGCCTGAAAAATAGTGATGTACCCACCGAGAGGCAGAGATAGCCTAGTTCTAGGCCCAGAGACCCCAGCTCCTGAGCGCTCTTCGGTGACTAAGCCGTCCGTATACCAGACCTGCCATCTTTAGGGGTAATACGATCACCCCTGCTTAGAAGGACGAGGTCCTCCCTTTGCAATTCGACTAAGATGGCAGTATGCCCCTTGACAGGATTCAAGAAAGCCCAGCTGGATCACCAGATCCAACGGTGGGAGATCCAACAAGGCTTAAATTGCACTCAATGGCGTTGTTCGCACTGCGCTTGTAATACTGATACAGGACAAACGCTGAATTTTATTAGTTTGGCCTTAGTTGTCTAGGTTCTAATGCAAGGCCACCAGACCAGGGAGCGGTACAAGAGAGATGGACGTACTATCGTCGTGTAGGGCCAGTATACCACTTTGAGTTTAAGCCCCCACCTTACACCGACAACACGTCTACAGGCCCACATTGAATTGCTTGTTTGCTTTCGGTTTGTCTGTCTCCACACCATTCGACCTGTAACCTACTGATGACTGCTAAAAAGCACAAAACAACTTTGTATGTGATTGGTGATGGTTATAGAGGTGGAAAGCAATTATATTTAGTTCAGCAATTTTGCATTGCACGCCATTGCTGGTGGCCTTGAGAATACCTCGTATTTTGGCGGGTCGTGCTTTTAATGATGCTGGGGGACAAAGTTCATAGAACGGTAACTATCTTTCATTGTATGCCAGAGGCGTATTGACGTTCTGTCACTTTCAGCGTATGGACGTATGTATTAAGCATTGGTGAACTATTGGTCGGTGGAAGTTGTCAGTCCTGTCAGTTGTCTCCGCGTTACGCAAAAATGAGCTTGCCAATACGTAAAATTAACGTACCACTTTCATGCCGAATATATACTGAAAGCATAAACAGGTCTTGTAAATTAGGTTTACCAGACACGGCACCTCAGTCTTTTGTTTACAAATTAGCGACTTTAATAAAGGAAGTACCGATTATTTTATTTAGGTCTGATTTGCAATATTGTAATGTTCAAGCCAGTTTTTTTACAATTTCAGTTTCATAGTGACTTCAGTTGCATCAAAGTCTAATACGTACACATACCCTCCAGATTTTATTTAGTAAGTTGAACATGTCTGAATGTAAGGAAAATTAAGAATTTGGTATCAAGTCCTAACAAGCTCCTTCATGGTTTTGATTACCTAATTTTCAAATTGATTTTAACGTTGCCTCAGTTACGATACGCTCATCTACTTTTTCCAGATTGAGGAGACTGAGTATCAACTTAGGGATCAATTTGCCATTCCAGAAATTTCAATGATGTCTATAGTAATTGTGATATACATGCTAATTGTTTGAGTAGTATTCTATCATCTCTCACTGAAGCTTATTGTTATTTGTCTTGGCTGCCTTATGCGTTGTGTTGTTCTTTTGGATTTTTTGTATTTCATGTGTTTATGTTTTCTTATTATTATTTAAAAATTGAGAACAGTAGCCACTTCTTTCCTTCGGATATTTACATTTGCTTTAGTTATATATTTGGTATATTTTTTCTTTATTGCTTTAGTTGTCCTGTAATTGTAAATCTGTTCTGTTGGGCAACAAATAATTCGTTTGTTTATATATAAATTATTATTCTCATACGAACGTTTCATACGAGAAGCGCTTCCTTACCAGCAACTTTGAGACCTCCATCTTCTGTATTAATACCGACCATAATTGGTATATTTTCATATTTATTAGCTGTTATCAGTTTTATTGGATGTTCAGTCAAGAAAGCACCATCCAGTTTTGGCTCGATTACTGGTTTGAACGGAATCATGGGGTCGTAGTCCCAAAGCTGAAATCATATAAATATTTCGTACCAAAACACATAATGCAAAAATGGCAACTGAGAAGTATGTATATCTTTAGCTCAGAATTAAACAGTCGTAAATCCAGGTTAACACAGTTTTGAGTTAAAATTACTATTAAATATGACATACTTAAGTTTGTCAATGTAGCAAACAGTCGTATGCGACAGTTTAATCATATTAGACGAAAATACTCGTGGTTTGCGAAATAACTGTAAAGTCTGGTTTTATTGCTGCAAGTTGTTCAAGGGGGTATTTAAAACATGGAAGCATAAATGGGTACACCAATTTTTGTGAGAAAACTTTTTATTCGACAACATAAAATGAGAAAACGTGTTTTTGGGATTCAATCGAAAGTGTTGGCAGGGACGAAAAACTCTTCATGTAAGATTTTTAGGTATTTATAAGACCTACAAAATGAGCCAACACGTACAAATATCTGACTAATAGCAAAAATGTTATGGCCGAAAAACGAGACAAAATGAAAGTTTTGGCACTATGATTTCTCGCAGAATTCTTTAAATTCGAAAGATTCGTACTTCTGAATAACCACAAAAAAATTGGAGTAGATTGGTCAAATAGTTTTTGAGAATTTCAAATTATTTATCCCAAAACACCCGTTTTCCGACCATCACTACTAGTTTGTTGAGCAATATACAGGTTAGTTAAGAGAGGATTTTATAGCAAAATTCACTAGTTTACCTTGCCAATATAAATCGCAAACCATTCCGGAAGATAAATGTTATTTTTATGCAAAAAGGATGGGTTACGATTTTTCTACTTAACAAACTCAATCATTTCGTATTTGTGAGTAATTCGCAACAAAAGATGATAGACACATCCGCTTTGTTTTAAAAATGTATATAGTAACGTATGTTTTCGAATATCGTAACGCATTTGTTCAATTACTCGCAAATTCGAAATGTTTGATTTGTTTAGAAGAAAAAAACGTGTTTTTCTCTTAAAAATAACATTTAACTTTCGGAATGGTTCATGATTTATATCGGCAAGGTAAATACGTGTATTTTGCTATTGAATGATCTTTGAACGAACGCTGTATTTTGCTCAATAAACTAGTAGTGATGGCCGGAAAACAGACTATTGGAAATTCTCAAAAAACTACTTGTCCAACATACTCCAATTTTGTTGCTGTTATTTAGAAGTATGAATCCTACGGATTTGAATAATTTCAAGTAGTTGCGTGAAATGATCGTCGTATTACCCACAAGTGTCAAAACCTGCATTTTGCCTCGTTTTGGGGCCATAACATTTTTGCTATTAGTCGGATCTTTTCACGTGTGTTTTCATTTTTTAGATCTCATAAATACCTAAAAATCTTATATAAAAAGTTTTTTCGATCCTGTCAACACTTTCGATTGAATCCCAAAAAATACGTTTTCTCAATCTTTGTTGTAAAATAAAGCTTTCCCACAAAAATTGGTGTACCCATTTTATGCGTCTATGTTTTAAATACCCCTTGAACAACTTGCACAAATGAAACCAGACTTTACAATTATTTCGGGGAAATTTGCTAATATGATTAGACTAAGATTGTTGTTCATATTACATATTGATTTTGAAGATATAGTAGGGATTTTCACTTGTTTTGCTCATTTTTCTAAACTTGGACATGCGACTGTTTATCTATGAGCTACATATACAATCCTACCAAACAATACCGGTGAATGTTATTCGTAGATTCGAACTTTTTGAAACGGAGTAAGTTATTATATGGTTATGAATCAGTAAGTTGATATAGTGATATAGTCTGCAACACCTGTTTCATGATCATATACATAGATCAAGGTAGCGCCATAATTGAACTTACTAAGGTCAAAGGAATTGAACGAATCTATTATTTCAATAGGTTTTCATATTGTTCATAGTGGATTATTACATCAATTATCCGATTTTCAATTTAGCTTACACCTTTTAAAGGAAGTATGTTGTTCTATGGTTATCAGTTAATATCAATCAGTTGAGCGACAATTCATGACGACGGGTTGAAGCATATTGGCATATTTTCTGACGCACCCTTCAACAATATTCTTGTTCCTTTCTAATTTTACACATTGATAACACTGATCAACAGCCAAAAAATATCCTAAATAAAATCAACAAAATATTACTATTTTTAATGTGCTAAAACCGGAATGAAACTTATTTTTCAAATATTAGTTCAAGTTTTAGAGATACGGTAATTATATGTGTTCCTGCTGGGACAGTGTTAATATACTGGAATTCACAAGAATGCACGTGCTACATTTTTATATTCGGCAAGGAACGATGATGTAATCGGCATGATTGTGTTACGTTATACATACGTGTACATTATATTGTTTTATATTAGCCATTTTTTCCTCAGTTGGCTGACAGCGTTCATGCAAGATGTCTCGAAAGTGTGTAAACAATCCAGATCAGTTTTGTTACGTGTGTGGTGATTGACTTTTGCGTCTCAGAGACGGTCTATTACTCCACTAATAACAAAGGCATATCAGCTTTATTTCGGTTGTAAACTAGGTGATCAAGACAAACAGTGGGCACCCCACATCTGCTGTAATACATGTGCTTCAAGTCTGAGGAGCTGGTTAAATGGCAGAAAACGGTCTATGCGCTTTGCTGTCCCAATGGTTTGGAGAGAGCCCACAAATCATATTAATGATTGTTACTTTTGCATGATACCTTGTGTTGGACAAGCCACAGGTATGTCCAAGAAAAAAAAATCGGTTATTAACTACCCAAACATACCATCTGCGATGAGACCTGTGCCTCACAGTGACGAAAATCCTATTCCAAAACCCCCAGAATCCTACACTTGCGAATCAGAAAACGAATCAGATCATGGCGATCGAGTGATTCGTCAGGAAGAAGATATGCCATCAGCGTCAAGAGATCCTGATTTTATACCGAGCACGTCATGCCACCAACCGCACAAAATAACACAGTCAGAATTAAATGATCTTGTAAGAGATTTAGAACTTCCAAAATGTAAGGCAGAGTTACTTGGATCAAGACTGCAGCAGTGGAACTTGTTAGAAGACGATGTTTCGGTATGTGTTTTTCGTAAACGCCACAAAGACTTAGAACCATTTTTCAATATGGAGAATAACTTGGTTTTCTGCAGTAACATAATATATATATATATATATATATATATATATATAATAAACTGGCCGCTTTAAATATAAACTATAACCCAGAAGAATGGAGATTGTTTATAGACAGTTCAACATTAAGTTTAAAGGCAGTGTTATTGCATATTGGAAATATTTTACCATCTCTTCCTGTAGGGTATGCAGTTCACATGAAAGAATCATATGACAATATGAAGTACCTATTGACATGCATAAAATACGATGAGCGCCAATGGCATATTTGTGACGATTTGAAAGTTGTTGCACTTTTGCTTGGGCTGCAGCTAGGCTACACAAAGTTTTGCTGTTTTTTGTGTGAATGGGACAGTCGGGCAAAGGCACTTCATTACACCGGACAAAACTGGCCTATTCGTCAATTCCTAGAGCCAGGTCAAAAAAATGTACAGCATATGCCATTAGTAGATTCGAAAAAAAATTTATTACCACCACTGCATATCAAGTTGGGCCTAATGAAAAACTTTGTTAAGGCATTAGATAGAGATGGGTCAGCTTTTCAATACCTGCGTCAGAAATTTCCAAGACTAAGTGAGGCAAAGGTTAAAGAAGGTATTTTTGTTGGGCCACAGATTCGAAATATTTTGAAAGATACACAGTTTGAAAACACTTTAACAGGTATTGAAAAAACTGCTTGGAATGATTTCCGTCTGGTGGTCACTAATTTGTTGGGAAATAGAAAAGCTGACAACTATAAAACCCTTGTCAAAAATATGCTGTCATCGTATCAAAAGATGGGCTGTAATATGTCTCTTAAGATACATTTCCTACACATACACCTGGACTTTTTTCCTGACAATTGCGGAGCCGTAAGTGATGAGCACGGCGAACGTTTTCATCAGGATATTTCAACAATGGAAAAAAGGTACCAGGGAAAGTGGAATCCTTCCATGCTTGCAGACTACTGTTGGATCTTGGTAGAGATGCTCCAGAAACGATCCATAAAAGAACAGCAAAAAGACAGCGCATATAGTGATTCTTATAAGTATATGAATCTTGTTACTTTTTTTAATATATCCTTAAAAATAAAAAGTTTTTTTTCTAAACCGCAACTAATTTTTTTATTTCATTGTCATTTTTGGATTCAGCGCCCCAAAATTAACAAAGAAGTGCACTTTTCCCACAAGATACAATTAAAAAACTAAAATTTGTTGTCCAGTGTAATCAATGCTGATGCTTAATTCAAATATCCATGTTTCTAATGCAGACAAGGTGACTAAGTTTTTGAGAAAATGTTTCACATTGCCTATAGAAGATTCTGTTCAAAAAGAACTATACGTCTTTATAAAAAAAACATTATGACCTAATACATAAAACATACTTTCATGGTCCTCTAAGTTTATCTAGCCGCTAAACGGAACCACATATGCTTGAAATACTATTAGAGTAAGATCCAATGGCTTCCAGACATTACTTATTTTCTCAAAGACAAAACTTGGGGCATTAACTAGCGTTTATATGTACTTTCAACGCCTACGTGACTGCTAAGTTGGGTAATTGTCCGATTTACAGATACCAAGTGAGAAAAATGAGTAAAAATAGGACTTCACTTAAATTTTCGTAGCTGATTTTTATAGATACTTTGTACAACATTGTTACGAAGTAATATTGAACACTGCCAGACACCTCTCGTGGTCCATAACGTCAGCCAAACATCTTGAAACACTCAATAAGTAATTGGTTTTTACTTATTTCCACACACTTGATTTTTATGTATGTTATTTGGGGAACTATTTTGAAACAGCATTTGCTTAGACAGACAAGTCGTGTGAGTCTAACATCCGGCTGCCGGTTGGACAGAAAAAACGTTTAGTCGTAAGTATGAGCGGGAGGGTATTATGCTTACGTTTTGCAGCGAGTCGATAAATTTGCCCCTTTAAACGTCGGTCTCACGTCATATCGAGGGTGATATGGTGTGCCTGGAACCTAAATATTTAAATCAGATGTTATCCGAAACGAATAGACTGATAGAAAGTTTCTCAAAAGAGGCGAAACATGTAAATATGGATGCATTATTAAAAAATGCACATGTTTCAAAAAAGACAGTGGCTTAGAGAATAATTCCCTTGTTTCTTCTATAGGTATCAAAATTTGCTAGTTTTCAATGTCATTGGTGTTGTGTCAGTCACAAAAATGTTTGTATTTATTGGATACACTGTTAGTGTTACATGTAAAAAAACTTAAGTGAATATTATCCATTACGAAGGTATAGTTTCAACACCCTGTATCCAGGTAAGGGGGCATTTTAGGTTACACGCAGATCATATGACCTGAGACCTTATCTCAAATTAGTCCCCTAAATAGCAAATATAAAAATTAAGCGTAAGAAAATAAGTAAAGTTCAATAACTTGATTGGGTGCTTCAAGGTATCTGGATGAAGTTATGGAGAATGGAGGATGTTTGGCAGTGCTGAATATTACTTTGTGATAACATCTTACATAGTATATATGAAAATCAGCCAAAACAATTGAAGCAAAGTTAGTCTTACTTCTACTCACCTTTCTCGACTGGTATCAGTAAATCGGACCATTATCGAACTTAAAACGGTATTCAAAACCGTTTTACAGTCGTCAAGACCATTGTACGCAAGCTCTTGAAGTTGCAAGACGGCCCTGTTTCCTCCATTCAAGCGAGCAAGGTTAGCCATCCTAAACGAATGAAATATTCCCTGTCACGTTCCTAATTTATAATTTTGGTTTTGTTTTTTTACCTTTCAGAACACATGGTTTTAATATCCAAAAACTGGTTTCAATCGCCGAACATCCATCATCAAAACACAGTCAACCGTACATCTGTGAATAATTAAATATAATGACACAAACCAGCGGACTGGCCGAGAGTCAGAATACAGAATTGTAGACAAACTTACAAGAAAAACCCAATTGATTGGTTTTCATGCAAGATCCCGACAGTTGCAAGAAAATGCAAGGAAGAAACAGCTGTTTTGTTAGTGTGCATGAAACTTTTCTCTCGCTCTTGCTAACTGTAAAACGGGTATTAACTGATACGCATGCGTTGAATGCTAGGAATGCCCCAAGTGCTGTCTGTGAGAGAATAAGTAATGTCTGGCAGTCATGGGACCATATACGAGTACTATAATTACTGACGACGACGTTTCACTCAGTACAGCGAACTTTTTCAATTGTACTTGAAAAAGGCCACTGAAACGTCATCGTCAGTAAGTAGTATTACAAGCACATTATTATGGTTTCATTTAGCGGTCAGACCACAGAACAAGTTTCAGGTATACTTGCATAGCATCTGTTTTGAACTTACCATGAATTTTACATCTTGTTCAATAAAATGTTTAGCTTCTACTTTCTTCAAGCACTCTACCATCTTTTTACTACAGTCTGTTGGGCAGTTGAAGAGTTTCGCTAACTTCTTTGAGTTCGTCAAGACCTCGTCTTTCCCTGATAACGCCCAAGTACAGAAAGCTGTGCCACTTTGCATAATTGCCCTTTTGAAAAGACCTTCATAAAAAAGAACATATTATTAACTTCCACATTTTCATACATTGTTTTGGTTGTGACTGAAATTGTTACAGAAATAAAAAAAACTCAAATTCACAAGAAAAATGTTGACCAACTATGGTGTTTCACCTCGCATTTGCAGTTTGAAGAGTATTAGTATTTTTGAGCTTACAAACCGATGATGGAGGCAAATATGATTAAGCCCTTACCTCTGCTGAGAGGAGATAACATATGAAACTGAGCGCTTGCCCCACCTGCTGACTCTCCAAATATCGTAACACTGTCTGGATCTCCTCCAAAGAACTTAATATTATTTTGAATCCAACGCAACGCCAAGTTCTGATCCTTGAGGCCATTATTTCCAGGTACAACTTCGTCTCCTGTCGTTAGGAATCCTAACGCACCTGAACATTAAATGTTGTTAAATAAGATGCCTAATAAAAGTCAAATCAACCAGGAAAATTTCATTACATTATTCGAGTGTTACATGTAACAAAAGTAGAGTTTAAAGAAGATCCGTTCAGTAGAGAATGTTAATTATCTATAACTAAAAGAACGTATAATGTATGTTTCTTCATATTGTTTTTCCAAATGAAACCTTCAAGGTTTGGTTTTCAAAATAGAACGTGCATGTGCAATATCTGCTGACTGATGTCTTAACTGGCGTGTGTCAGATTAAAATAATGAAGTGTTCCATTTATATAGGATAAGTACGAGAAACAGCTTTCATATCACAATATTTCATAGTTTGCATCAAAGTAAACACCTCAAAGGTGCAATATTTGCATAAAACACGTAAATGGTTTTAGGCTAAGAAACAATATGATATGTGTATATCAACCTTTGCAATAAACACATATTTACTCTCAATACATCTCGTATATATATATATATATAATCATTTTCAAGATATACAGGGTGATTCACAAGTATGACCAGAAATGAAACATCGACCTCATTTTAAGGAGGGTCTTCTATTTTTTCCTCGAGAGCTTCATTAAAAATTGAAAACACTTTTTTTAATATCTTCAAAACTGTTAACAGGAATGAACTAAAATTTGGTATGTTGATTTGCCTAAGTATTATCCACATTCAAAAGTCTTTACTTAAAATTAACGATACAAATAATTACTCTTGAGTTTTTTCCTAGAGTGTATTGTTTTTGTAAAAATAAAAAAAAAGAAATTAGATAATAGCTGTATTTCAATAAATCTTCAAAAAGACCACCATTCTCACAGATACAAGTGCTGCATCTTTAAAGAAAAACCGCAAAATTATTGTGGCTTGAATTTGATGAAACGAATATCTGTTATTTCTTGTAACTGATCAAAAGTATTAATTTACTCAGCATACACTAGTTATTTAGCGCCCCACAAAAAGAAATCCGTGCGGTTCAAACCAGGAGTCCCCGCAGGCCAGAGTACGGGTCCGTTTCTGCCAATCCATCGTTCTCTAAAATGATTACTTAACCATGCGGTTATGTCACGATAAACATGCGGTGGGGCACTGTCGTGCTGATGCCACATTCGTACTCGTCATTAACGGAACATCATCTAACACATTTTCTATATAATTCTCTAGGAAAGCTAAGTATGAGTTTGCATTTAAACGTTATGGCAATAGGTGCATAAACAGTTGGCCATTGAAAATGCCACACCAGACATTTCTAGAAAATCTGTGTTGAAACGAGTGTATTCTTACAGAACGGGGATTCTCTAACGACCAACTATGTTCATTATGAGAATTAAAGGTTCCACTCCTCGTAAAAAGCGATTCATCCCACCACAAAACCAAATCAATCAAATATGTATTTTGATTATGCATTTGCAGTAACCAGTCACAAAAATTTCGCCGTTGCACTTCGTCGCCGGGTTGCAGACATTACAAATTTTTCTGATGGTAAGGATGTAAAACTTTTCGATATAAAATTCTCCACGCAAGACTTTGGGAACATGGTAACTGGGCTGCAATCCGCCTAGTACTTGTACTAGGATCATCTTACGCCAAATTTATCACATTTCAGGTCTTCTTGAACAGTATGCCGGACACCATGGCCTCCAACTCCGGAAAGTTTGGAAATTCCATATTGCCGAAGTCTTAAAACTGAACGCGTAAAAACCTTTGCGGTAGGTTGGCGTCTCTTAAGAAATCTACGTTGATACTTCCGAGAAGCGGCTAAAGCATTTCCATTACAGAATCCGTTCACAAAAATAATATCGGCGTACTACTAATCATTGCTAAATTCCATTTTACAACGCTCAAAAATGGAAAAAAGAAATTCTTGACTTGACTCTTACAAACAAAAAAGAAAAATGTTAGTAGTGACGATAACAACCGTATAACACATAACTTTGACAAAATATCTCCCAAAAAACGTCAAGTTGGTATCAAGGCTTCCTATTTTATTTTGAAACTAATTGTATCTCGGCTCTTCATGAATGATCTAGTTTATTTTATTTCTATTTTTACGAAAACAGTGCACTTTAGGAAAAACACAGAAGTAATTATTTGTAGCAAATTGAAGGTAAAATTCGAAAAACTGCGCGTTTCGAAAAAAAACAGTGGCGTACTACTTTGATTTGAAAAAATAATGCCACTAACCCTCTGTATCTCCGCCACTGGTGCACGTTAATTTTAAGTTAACACTTTTGAATGTGGACAATACCTATATAAATCCACATAATTTCAGTTCATTCCATTTGACGGTTTTGAAGATATTAAAAAAAAGTTTTGTGTTTTTAAACTTCAACGTATCTTTTTGATGAAGCTCTCGAGGGAAAGCTGTTTTATAGAAGACCCCCCTCAAAATGCGGTACTGTGTATGATGTTTCATTTTGGGTCACGACTTGTGAATAACCCTGTATGTATTTTTAAGACACCTTTACTCACTTCCAACAAGGAGCCTCTGTCAGGTCTGTCAAATCCAACAAATTAATGTTTTGACGTTACCTAATTACGTACTGAATTGATCTGGAGGTAATACTATACGTCGATTCGTCGATTTGGACCACCTCGCCAGGTCCACCCAACATATCATCGTCCAACGTTATAGTTAAATAAAGATCAACGATAATTTCATCAAATCATCAAAAAACTTGCAATGTTCTTTGTTACGTTTTCATTATTTAGTGATTTGCAACAGCTTCTTTTTCAATCATTTCTCATATATATCACATTTAATTAGGTACATTTTGTAACATAAGCTTTTCACTTTAAATAATTCTTCAATTACATACATACAAAAAGTAAATAGACTATAATATAGGAAAAACAATAACCTAAGTACTTTTGTGAAGGGCATAAGGCATTCTTCAAAAAAGTCTCTTTAGCTAACGCTATCGTAGGGCTCAAGGTGAATTTAGTACAGCAAAACCTGCCCACCACACCTCAAAATCGCATTTTCATGACAATCCTTTGCCGACTGCACATTTAACCGCTAGTATACATAGTAAGTAAGAATTTGACAACCCAAATTAAGGTATATTACTATCCATGATTTGGCAACATCGCAACTAGATAGAGAGAATTTGACAGTGACGGTGGTGTAGTGATGGGAATAATTATCTGAAATAAATGAAATTACTACTTAACAATCAACTATTTTCATCATTAAAATAATGCAAAATTGCATTATTGCGATGAACAGTATCACAGTAACTTACAGTGTATGTTATATTCATATAATTTTTAACAATCTTTTGTATAAACAAGAAGAAAACAGCTTATAAAGCAGTATTCTATACCACAGTATTAGCACCCAAAATGCAACTTTGAAGTTCTATAAAATATCAAGCAGAGGGTTCCTTAAAGAAAAAATGATATTTTAGTGCAACTTACATCCTAATCGTTCATTTTAAAATAAGAAATGAAGTATTTGCGATATGCGCTAAAGTATAGTTCAGCCGATCTGGGTTCTGTCACAAACTTACATTTGGAAAGTATCATATTGTACCAAAGAGCGATTACAATAATAGAATTGACCTTTTATGAATCTTGAACGTTACCCTTTACCTACCCAATCTGTAATTGGTAACGACGAGAACAACATCCTTATCCAGCAAAACTTCTGGACCATACCACATTCCGTTACCACTTCCACACAACCATCCTCCTCCGTGGAAGAATATCATAACAGGCAATTTTTCGCTATCTTGGAATTTCTCCAACTGAAAATATGAATAAATTCTTCCAGTAACTATATTTTTTGCTGTAACATTTTCAGTTTCAGCAAACGATTCTTTACTTCACGACATTGTTATTCCTCTTATCAGTATAAATATAGTTTGAGGGTGTACGGGAAGAAAAAGTTAACCATTCAACATGCTTCAGCCATGAACAGCTATTGGCAGTCGTGCTTTGAAAGGCAGAGATCGAAATCCAAGAGGATTTTCTTATCAAAAATTAGAATTAATTAACAGAAGTTAGAATCTGAGAGAGATACGCAAGAGAAAGTTGTGATTAAATTTTGAAGTGAAACATTTGCTGTGTTGCAGGATTTGCCGTATACATTCGTTCAGTCTTTGGGCATGTTTCTCCGGAAAACTTAAGATTCTGTCTCTTCAATCTATACCAATAGGTTTTCACTCCGGAAATTAGATTTATATGAATGAGATTCAAATGCGTTTATGGAGGAGGCATATAGACGGTCTTGATTATTCAACTGAAAAGGACTGTTTTTATGCTGTTTGAATGAAGTGTATATTTCGCATCACTACCCTGCATTCTCAAAAAGGCAGGTTAGTGAATATTCTTTGACGTGAAGATTTCAACCACCCGAGAGATGGATATAATTCTGGGCGCGTTTTATTCCAACGTAGTTTTCTAGTTTTCCTAAAGACCTGCACACTGCAATATTGCATGTCTTATATTATAAGATAACGAAGAGAGAAGCTAACTACTCGACCAGTCGAGTTGCGCTGTGGCCAAGTTCAAATCTTTTGTGAACTCCTTGCGGGTAGCTGGTTGATGAACATTAAAGCTTATTCTGTGACCCAACATATTAGATACGAGGTCCGTAAATTAAGTGACGAGACTGGCAACGTTGCGTTCGATCTGGCAACACGGGAGGCGCCGGGCTTGGAGGGAAGACAGATGACGTGTGATCTACCCTCACTACAAGTTTGAACTCGGTCGAGTAATTTTTTGTCCGTAGCGATTTTTTTGTGAAACATTTTTTTTTCTGATGTGTTCTAAATCTGAGTGACACAGGCCTACGGAGATCATGTTTTGTCAAGAGCCCAGGTTTTTCGGTGGTTTAAGGCATTTTCAGAAGGGAGAGTTCAAAAATCATCATTTCATGAATAAAAAATTGCAGTAATGATAGAATTTCAACTATATTACATTGAATATTATATAATATATAAGTTTGGAGGAATATAATTAAGAGGAAACCGAAACCGGGTGATAGGCAAAGTCATAACAGCTATCAGAAAAATATTTAAAAAAATGTTATGTATGTGTTTTGAAAATTATAGGTCTTTGAAAAAAATATAGAAGTTTCACACCCTACGGCAGTCTGTCAACTCCTGTTACTACAAATATTAACTTTTTTTGGATTTTATTTTTACAATGTAATGATGAATAATGCATCTTCAAACTGGTGTCTCAACCTTACTGCCAACTTTTCTTGTTCAGGAAAAATTACCACTTATTTCCCAACCAAGTATTCCAAAGTAAAACTTTGCTCAACTTTAACTGGCTGTACTGGAAAAAAATGTACTACGAGAGTTTGGCAAGTAACCTCAAAAGTTGGCGCATTTAATAAGGATTCCAAAATGGTATAACACTTAGAAGATTACTCGTTAACTTATGCACAATTTTTATTTGAAAAAAAACTGATGAAAATTTTTCAAAATTTCCTAATAAAACAGCGATTATGAAAACGCACAAGGACCCTTAAGGATAACTGTTTGCACAACAGTGGGCGTCAAAATGCTGCTGATGATGATTTACCTTTACAGCAAATGCTCAAACTGTTTTCCTTCAGCCGCAATACACGCTCGACATCTTCTTAAAAAAGATCGGGTTATTAAACGAGCGAATCCATGGTTATTAACAAACTCAGCTGCTTCCAATAGTCTTTGCCGTAGCTCAGCTGCATTTTGAATCGGCTTGAAATACACTTTTTCTTTTACAGTTCCCCAGTAAAAAAAATCTAACGGATTCAAATCTGGTGACCGGGCTGGCCACGGTATTGTACCAGACCGCCCTCCATCTGCCTGGAAAGTTTTGATCGAGATAGGTACTCTCTCACTGAGAGTGCGCTGGGCAGCCATCATGCTGAAACCACATGTCCCTGTAAATACTCAGTGGCTCGTCCTCCAATAAATTTTCTAAATGATTTTGCAAAAAACCTAAATAAACCTCAGCAGTCAAAGTCTCTGGGAACTCAAACGGACCGATTATTTTACCATTTAAAATTCCTGTCCAATGGTTTATCTTGAAGCGATATTGAGATTTATCTTCTCTCATCAAATGTGGGTTTGCTACGTGCCACTCGTGTAAGTTATGCAGGTTCATGTACCCATCTTTCTTAAATGTGGTCTCATCTGACCATACATTTTTTTCAAAGAACCGTGGATCTTCCCTGTGTCTTTCTAACATTGTGCGACAAAAAGCAACTCGGGGCTCATAATCCCGGGGCAGAAAAGCTTGAAGACGCAGTACGTGGTATGGATGGAGCACGTTTTTTTGCAAGATTCTATGGGCTGTACTTTTGGGCACACCTGTTTTTAGTTCTATTCAATCCACATCACAAGCGATCAACAGTCCAGTTCACGAATCCAAAATTAGTAACAGTACGAAATCAACAAGCACGAACATGTAAAGATGCGCAGTAAACGAAGGAGTACTGCTCGGTATCAAAGTGTGCAATAGCAAGTGATGTGCTTCATCCATACCACATACAGCGTGTTCAACCTCTCCTGCCCCGGGATTATGAGCCCCGAGTTGCTTTTTGTTGCACAATGTTAGAAAGACATAGGAAAGACCCACAGTTCTTTGAAAAAATTTTATGGTCGGATGAGACCACATTTAAGAAGGATGGGTACATGAACCTGCATAACTTACACGAGTGGCATGTAGCAAACCCACATTTGATGAGAGAAGATAAATCTCAATATCGCTTCAAGATAAACCATTGGACAGGAATTTTAAATGGTAAAATAATCGGTCCGTTTGAGTTCCCAGAGACTTTGACTGCTGAGGTTTATTTAGGTTTTTTGCAAAATCATTTAGAAAATTTATTGGTGGACGTGCCACTGAGTATTTACAGGGACATGTGCTTTCAGCATGATGGCTGCCCAGGGCACTATGCACTCTCAGTGAGAGAATATCTCGATCAAAACTTTCCAGGCAGATGGATAAGGCGGTCTGGTACAATACCGTGGCCAGCCCGATCACCTGATTTGAATCCTTTAGATTTTTTTACTGGGGAACTGTAAAAGAAAAAGTGTATCTCAAGCCGATTCAAAATGTAGCTGAGCTACGGCAAAGACTATTGGAAGCAGCTGAGTTTGTTAATAACCGTGGATTCGCTCGTTTAATAACCCGATCTTTTTTAAGATGTCGAGTGTGTATTGCGGCTGAATGAAAACAGTTTGAGCATTTGCTGTAAAGGTAAATCATCATCAGCAGCATTTTGACGCCCACTGTTGTGCAAACAGTTATCCTTAAGGGTCCTTGTGCGTTTTCATAATCGCTGTTTTATTAGGAAATTTTGAAAAATGTTCATCAGTTTTTCTTCAAATAAAAATTGTGCATAAGTTAACGAGTAATCTTCTAAGTGTTATACCATTTTGGAATCCTTATTAAATGCGCCAACTTTTAAGGTTACTTGCCAAACTCTCGTTGTACATTTTTTCCAGTACAGCCAGTTAAAGTTGAGCAAAGTTTTACTTTGGAATACTTGGTTGGGAAATAAGAGGCAATTTTTCCTGAACAAGAAAAGTTGGCAGTAAGGTTGAGACACCAGTTTGAAGATGCATTATTCATCATTACATTGTAAAAATAAAATCCAAAAAAAGTTAATATTTGTAGTAACAGGAGCTGACAGACTGCCGTATGGTGTGAAATTTCTATATCTTTTTCAAAGACCTATAATTTTCAAAATACATACATAAAAAATTTTTAAATATTTTTCTGATAGCTGTTATGACTTTGCCTATTACCCGGTTTCGGCTTGACGTCGACTTCTGGGACACCCTGTACATAATTGAATCATGTTCATTTCTGATATTTTTTTTTGTCATTGATTTGCTAAGCACTGATATATTAGAAGTTAAACCAAATTTGTTTACACTTTCTCGTGTGTCAAACCCTCGAGTGGTGAGGAAACAAGTTCAAAAGTTCATATTCATATGAGAATGTTCACTAAACCCCTACCAAACGTATGCCAATCAATATTTACTAATCTGTTTTTTAGAGAGGGCACCAGTAATGTGGCAAAACGCACACTTCATTCACACACCTTTTTCCAATTGTACAATAGTATAGGAAAGGTTCATTCAGGATGAATGAATAACACCCTGTATATCCCTCCAGTACAACTGACCTAGAAGTGGTCTGTGCCAACAATACACATTACCATCATTATCAGATACTTTTTGGTTACATTGTCAGTCAAACTTATATCACAATATTAAGAAAAAATGAAAAGCTACTTTCCAGAGTGAAAACCGGAAGGTACAAACTTAAGCGATAGGATCTTAAGCCAGGAGATAATTTATATCTCCCTGAGGTATGTCATTCCAAGCTAGCTGTGCTTGGTTTCGAAGACCTGCTAACGTTTGTGGAGGAAGGAGGTGACATTTGTTCCCATTATACCCCATACATGTTCAATTGGGGGCAGGGTCTGGAGATCTAGGTGTCCAAGGGAGGAGATTGGCACAAGTATTATTGAGGTATATCTAGCAATATGGGGACGGGCTTGTTGGAATATGTTCTCAAGCGTTTGAAATGGAAAAGTTTAGGTTTTAGTATCACCCGGATCTACCGTTGCGGCATCATACCTCTTCTAATGAAAACCCAGGACGACTTAGCAGCAACTGAAACTTTAAGTTTCTCTCCGTTAGTTTTTATTAAAAGATGGATAGCGGCGCAGCGGTACATCCAGAAGATACTGCAACTTTATCTTTCACAACCATTTACAAAATAATGTGCATACCTTACCTCAATAACGGTCAAGTCAACTTCATTTCTTAGCGTTCAAAATATTCAGCTCAACCCATTAAACATGGGCGAGATGTGGTGAGATTCACAAACCCTAGCAGGTCGTTCGATTCAAACACAGTTAGCTTGTAGTGAGATACCTCAAAAATAAATAAATATCCTCCTCAGAAGCAGGCTCTGGCAACTGGATGAAAATATACATAACCGGGGTGGCCCGAATTAGGAAAATCCAGCGATAGACCGCACGTTTCCACATTAAAACCTAATCACGGCTTTCTCTCACTTATGCCTACTTGTACCATATACAGTTCATTCAAATCAAATCATTTGTACAGGGGTTCTTAATTGCTTTGTCACTGAGTATATTATAGCCTACATACCTTTGGTGTATAAACATTTAAATAAAGGCAGTCTTCTTCTCCTTCGATAACTGTTGATCTCCTGTATACATCTCTTTGGGGGCACACAGCATGCACTTTAGTTGCGTCACGTACTTTATGCCATGGTTTTGCTGGAACCGGTGGCTGAAACAAATAATACGTTTTGTATATTTTTTGTTTCCAAAAACTACTTTCAAGTAAATCGATAAATTATAATTGTTTATCATACAGTGCTTTTCTTTAATGGCCCCCACCCCTTTGACTTTTTGAACGGATCAATTCAAAAAATTAAAACTTGAGGCAATGAAATTGATGCATGGATACCATATTTTAGAGTAAAATTGACAGATGAAAATGTCAAGATGACCGCTGAGCGCCATCTTGGAAAAAAAATTACATAAAAATGGGGGCCTTGTGGCACATCATTTTGAAGCTCCTGACGAGTACTTTATAGCCCTAGAATATAAAGTCAATACCTTTACCTAATACAAAATGGTGATACATTTAGTAATTACCTGAATACACTGACATTTTTGATAATTCGAATAAATACGTTGAGTTCAGCCGGTCCGTAATTTCGGGTCGAACATTTTCAAACAATGTAACATCGATATTTCTACAAATATTTGTTATTCCAGCCGTATATCCAATATTGAAGCAGGTTCAGTTTCGTACACCTTTTGCTTCAAATAGCCCCATAAAAAAAGTCTAAAGGTGTCAAATCTGGCGAGCGAGCTGGCTATTCCACAGGACCTCGACGGCCAATCCAACGACCGGGGAAATTGATATCTAAATAATTCCTAACTTGTCTGTAGTAGTGTGCTGGAGCACAGGACGATTGCGATGATTAGAGGTTCAATAGTATTTCCAGCATATCCAAATACAGTTCCCCGGTTAAAGTTTGTTCGATGAATAGAGGCCCCACAATATGATTTTCCAATATCGCAGCCCAAACGTTAATTTTTTGTGGATATGAGTTTTCCGGAAGACGTGAGGATTGGTGTCACTCCATTAACGAAAATTTTGTCTATGCACATTATCGTTGAGAAAAAATGTACGTTCATCACTAAAACAAATATTTTGGATATAGGTAGGATGCCGTGCAATGGTTTCCGTCATAGTCTCGCAGAATTCTGTTCTTCGATCAGGGTCATCTTCAGTTAGCTGATGTACCATTTGAATTTTGTATGGGTGATACTTATTCTTTTTCAAAAGTCTCTATACAGTAGAAGGACAAACCTAACATACATTCGCGATGAAGGAAGTAGACTGGTGGGGATTTACTATGATCTCACCAATTATTTGAACTTACTTTTCTTCCGGGATAGTCGGATGATTTGTGGGCTTTTTGTTGTTTACACTACCAGTAGCTGTCAATTTAGATATAAGTTCCCTTAAATATTTTCTACAGATAGGACGATTCGGGAAACGATCATTAAAAATCCTTTCGGTCTCGTGAAAATTACGCGTCGCACCATAAATAAAAATCGCTTCGATTTTTTTTCCAATGGACGAGAATTAACGATTTTAAAAATAGTTCAAACAGTATCTAGCACTAAAATCGAAAACTAAATATGAATATTTTAACTGTACAATGATGTTTATTTTCGTACTGATATTCTTGTCACTGTCAAGAAAAAATAACAAAACAGGTTTTTATCGCTGTTGCTGTGGATACGGCAGGGAATTTCAATTATTTGTAGAGATATGCATGTTAGGGGGTTTGTGTTCAAGTAACTATTAAATCTACAACCATTTTGTAGAAGGTAACGATATTGACTGCATATTATAGGGTTATAAAGTACTCGTCAGGAGCTTCAAAATGATGTGACACAAGACCCCCGTTTTCATATAATTTTTTTTCCAAGTTGGCGCCCAGCGGCCATCTTGACATTGCCATCTGTCAATTTTACTCTAAAATATGGTATCCATGCATCAATTTCATTACCTCAAGTTTTAATTTTTTGAATTGATTTGTTCAAAAAGTCAAAGGGAAGGGGGGCATTAAAGGAAAGCACTGTATAATGAACTTCAGTTGCTCTTTGAAGCTGCATTCTTCCAACATTTGGTTATTGCTTAATCTACAAATTACAATAAGCACCGCTATACCAGCTAGACATGTTAGATACGCTTACAACTCAAACAAAAACGTTACATAATTATGAACAAGAAGGTGTTATTTTGAGGGTTGGTAAATTTCCATGTAGCATGTAGCATCGTGGGTTGTTACTGCCATTTCTGAAAGGTATATGACAGTATGGTATTCATATAATCTGTTTACGGTTTCCTAGATATAATTCAATAATTGTTTTTAGTATCTGTGGTATACGGATTTTGATTGAATTTTATCTACGACCAAAAATTTTATGTACCTAGGATTTGGTAGAACTAAAGTGGTGCACTGATGTGCATCGAAAATGTCAAGAAGAATGGCGAAGGTTTCAGTTATTACATTTTAGTGTTGTAAAGCTATTCATAAACACATCAAAATGCTCCCTGAGACCAAGCCTACATCATCCTGAGGAGTTGCCAAATAGCACGAAACAGCTATCCATGTTTAACCATCTGTGGTCGGATGAACGAAGGCTATATTACTAGTTTGTTCAATGGCGGATAGACCGTATCTACTGAAGCATCAGAATCGTCGGCATCTAGCGGTCACAGTAGTGACCTGGCTGACAATGCAACCTGGGATACAGTTCTAATCAACTAATCTACTCTACAGTATATTCAGATAAGAGATAGACCGGACATAAACAAGACCACGTGATCATCGAACGCTGTAACATTCGGCAGGGACGTATTAAGAGTCACGCAGTACATATTTTAGATAGTAGATGCTGCTTTGCGTAACTTTGTAGTAAATTAGCACAATTCGATGTGTATACGATTGGTGATGGATATAGGATCATGTGGGGGTGCGGTAAGAAATATATAATGATGTAAATATACATAAGGGTTTCAAAATTTTCGCTTCGATTTCCAGCTTCGGATGCCACCTGATGTTTGGTGATATACAGTCGAATATAATCTCAAAATGGCGTTTAAATTAGCCTAAATTAAAAATAATCGTATATCTCTTAAAATTGCTTTTAGAATATTGATTAGTATATTTTTTGATTTCTAGGTAAATATGTAACCAAATTAAAACGTTCAAAACGTAAAAAAATGTGCATGGTTGAACATTATCAGAAAGTAGATTCTTGAATAGGTTTTGCCAAAATGGGTTCAAAAATGTCAATAATTAATTAAAAAATACAGTAGCTTTATAATTACTTATAACTTACCGAATTTGATGAACGACATCTTTTATTGGAAAGATGAGCTTGATGAGCTTTCATCATCGCTACTGCTTGAAGCACCAACGTCAATAATGAATGGCTCGACTTGTTCCTCTAAAATATTGTCCAGTTCCCACATTCTCTTTTCAACTTTGTCTTTCACGTGCTTAATACAGTTTTCCCATTTTTGCGCTGTTATTAATTCTAGTGCTTCTTTGAAAAGTCCTTTGAGGTCACAAAATTTAAAAGCTGTATTGTGCTTAGCTATATAATTTTTAACCTCTGCCCATATGAGCTCAATGGGATTGAGCTCGCAATGGTATGGAGGTAAACGGAGCACAGTTTTATTTTGACTTGCTGCCATTTCGTCAATGGCGTATTTTTGATATTCCGCCTTGTGATCCTTGACAATTCTTAATAATTGTACTTTCAGCATTGTTTCTTCAAAGTTGATATTTTTCGAGCGGAGCCAATTTTGAACATCAACTTTCCTTGAAGCCGTTGTTGGGACCTTCTCCATTCTTCGAGAATGATAAGGCGCATTATCCAACACAATTACTGCGTCGGTAAAATTTTTGAAAACCACTGTTCAAACGATTCGCCATTCATTTCCTCGTGGTAATCTCCAGTTTTCTTAGACTCAAAGCACCACAGACCATCAACAACAAATCCATCCTCACTGCCAATATGGCAGATAATGAGCCTTTTCCCTTTACCTGGAAATCGAAGTACTAACTGGTGTAGATTTATTTCAATAAGCGAACCTTTTTCAAATGTTTTCATCACATTCAGCGAAAAAACATTGAGACATGAGTATCAGATTGCTATAATTGGGATTATTTAGTCATATTGAAAGAAAGAATATTGAACGTCGTATGATTACTCAGCGCTTCACAATTTAATTTAAAGTTATAAACCTTTAAAAAATGAATGATCAGGAACCTGAAATACGCGCAAATATAAATATTAACAAATTATAACTTTATAAAGTTTAAAGTATGAATTAAAATGATTAGAAATATTAAGAACGGTACACAATATAAAACTTAGTAACTTTTTTTAAGTTTATAATATTCGACATATTTTAAGATTATATTAAAAAATTATTAAAATATCGAAAACACATAAAAACATGGCTTAAAAAAGTTCTAACAAATGAAAATGACAGTAAAACATCCACGCATTTTATCGAAAGTTATAAAAGTTTTGTTGCTTGTAATATGTTTTATCTGCCCCCTGGAATTAATGTTTAGAACCTTGTTCCCAAGGTTTGAAAAACATCCGATTGTTGTCTATTACTCGTATTTACCTGCTGGATTTTTTAATCCGGTGAGTTTGTTTGTCTCCTAGATCACAGTTTGTAGTGAGTGCACTTGACACAAGTTAATTTTTTGACTGTTCTGTCATTAAATTCATATTTTCAGTGTTATTTTAAAAAAATGCGAGTGTTTGCAGATAAATGTGGTGTTAGACGATTTCATTTGCAAAGAGCAGCTCAAGCCTAATGAAGGTAGTTTAACCGGTAATTATTATTGTGTTGATACAACGTTGTCGTTTTGGTAGGCACTGGTAGACAAATCAATTAAAAGTTTGCACTAGAGCTACGCAATTTTGACGACCAACAATGTAATGAAACATATAGGCTTCTAATCTATTCAAATTCCTTGGTTCCAGCGGTCCGTTTGTTGTTCTCACTCTCGCAGTGGATTCTGGTAATAGATAGCACTTTGTGCTGTCTTATTTCGTTACAACAAAGCAAGTAACAACAAAGCTTAAAAAATTTAGTATAAGAGAAAGTATGACAGCTTCGTTCAATTTTACATACCTTGGTATACAGTAATTTAAATCAAAATATTATCACCC